TAGTTCCAGCGGAAAGACAATTTTCTGGTGAGTGCTTTGTTATGAGGACTTGTTATTAATATGGAAATCCTGAGAGGATCATTTATTCGCACAAAACAAGAAACCGAGGGGAAATGAGCTTTACACATTTCATCATAAATCATGCATAATTCAGCAGAGAGGGGAAACTATTGATGAGGCTGGGGTGGGGGGGGATGAGTTTCTTGTTGCCGGCAAGAATAAAACTCTTAGGTATGAAGCTCTCGGATTTCCTGCATGTTTTCTCAAAGCATTCTGAAGTGTCAAGGCGTCATGAGTTTCACTGTTGTGCTAGCCAAGAGGAAGGCAAATGCTTTCACAGAATCAACAACATTGTCTGATGCAGAAGGGATCATACAAATATCAAATCCAGCTTCATATTATAGGTGAGAAACCCGAAGCTGAGAGAGGTGAAGTGACTTGCCTAGGGGTACACAGAACGAGGGGCAGTGCTGGAGCTCACCTGACTCCTGTCTCTTCCACCAAAGAACTGACAAGAGCAATTCTGTGACCAATCTACGTTACTGGCAGGAGAGCCAGGTTGCTGTGTGCTTAGGGTGTGCCGTTGAGTCAAATCTGACTCCTAGCAATCTCAAGGACAGAGTAGAACTGCCCCACAGGGTTTCTGAAGGTTTTCATCTTGACGGAAGCAGGCTGCCGCATCTTTCTCCTCACGAATGGTTGGTGGGTTCAAACCACTGCTTTCGTTTAGCAGCTGAGTGCCTAACAATTGTGCCACCAGTGCTCCCTCAGGAAAGCCACAGAGATCCCCCCGTTTCACACATAGAACCCTCGGGCCATGTCTAGGGTTCCACTGATGTCTGCACTTATTTAACTGCACTTCTTCTGGGAGACTTCAGTCACCACTATTAACGGCTGAATGCTATGCCAGAGTACGCCTTCCTTCTAAACATTATAGACACTTGGGGAAAATCCACTGCACTTACTCTTGGTTTAGATCTGTGAGATATCATGGAATCTGGGGAGAACACAGCTACCTATTTGCCAAAGTGCCTATGGTCCCCTGGCCTTTTCTCCCCCCACCCCC